TTTTAAGGCACATTAAACACAAACAGGTCATATAATTTTAGTTTTAAGTTTTGATAAGAGCTCAACATGACTGGCTACACCAATGGGTCACGAGAGAGCCAAAGAGTTGAGGTGTTACTGGAGAGCAACACACACATGAGGTATTACTGGAGAGCAACACACACAGAAGAGGAGGAGGAGAGAAAAGGAGGAGGAAAGAAAAGGAGGAGGAGAGAAAAGGAGGAGGAAAGAAAAGGAGGAGGAGAGAAAAGGAGGAGGAGAGAAAAGGAGGAGGAGAGAAAAGGAGGAGGAGAGAAAAGGAGGAGAGAACAGGAGGAGGAGAGAAAAGGAGGATATGTGATATGAGGAAAGAAGGAGGAAACCACAGCAGAGAACCCACCAACGACAAGTTTGAGTCAAAGTGAGGAGATGTTGACACATGACATTAATGGCCATTTAGTGCTGGGGAAAAGTCAGACAGACAGACAGACAGACAGACAGACAGACAGACGGACAGACAGACAGACAGACAGACGGGCAGACAAACAGAAAAAACGAGTGGAGGAGAAGCAGGAACATCCAGTGGCTCCCTCTCTCTCCCTACCCATTGAGAAGCACATCGACACAATAATAGTCATTTCCTGATTGGAAAAAGACAGACAGACAGAAACAACAGAGGGAAAGTAAAGAAGTAGGACCTACCAGTGCCACCCCCCAACCACCCATTCTCTCCAGGCACCCTCTAGGAGAGATTTGGACAACAGAGACACAGAGAAATTTGAGTCTGAGGTAAGACGCACACATGGACACAATACGCACACATGGACACACATGGACACAATACGCACACATGGACACACATGGACACAATACGCACACATGGACACAAGAACGGAGGATGGTGAAGGGAAGAAACAAGACGGACGGACAGAAACAACAGGGGGAAAGAAAAGAAGTAGGAGCTACCAGTGGCACCCTCCAACCACCCACGACATGGACAAAATGTTCAATGATTTAAGTCTGAATAAAGAAAAGCAAACAGAAGATAATGGTCATAAATGCTGAGAAAAAAAAAGTAAAAACAACAGAGACTACAGAAGGAAAGAAAATCTTGAGCTACCCCCAGCACCCACCAACCACCCGCTAGGAAGAAGGAGCAGGCCTCGAACCCATCCCGTCCACCACCAGTGTGACAACAGACTAGGGAGAACACTGGACATGTTTTAAAAAGGCCCAAGTACTGATGAAGTTCAGCATCAAGGTAGAAGAGGGTCACAAATGGAAAAGGTAGAGTCAATTGCCACCGAGTGACGCAGTGGCAATTGACAAAATTGACTTTTTGTCAATTGCCACCGAGTAAATTGGAGCTCTTTTGCGTTGGTGGGTAGATCTAGCTTATTGTGCTCGAGTGCTCGGTGTT